GTGGGGGGGGGGGGGGTTGTGGTGCCGTACAACGTTTTTTTACGCCAGTTTGCTGCAGAAGCTGGTTTCTGGAAGAAACAATGGTTGTTTACCAATTACATGGAAATCCCATTCGGTTTGAAATTGTGCTAATGGTAAGCAAAATTTTGGATAGAAAATTCCATTCGGATTATGCGCTTTCCATTTAAAGTGACTGACTGGAAGGCACTGAAGGATTGTTTACCATTTATATGTAAAACCCAAAACCCATTTGGTTTGAATTAAATTGCGAAAAGCCTGGAACTGGTGAAAAAATAAAAAAGATGTAAATGGAACAAACTTTACCGGTTGAAACGTTCCAATCGGTAAGAGAGGGCAACCTTTTCAAACAAACCGTTTATTCCCGGAAAAGTTCCGGTTGGGCCGTCGAAATATGCTTGTTCCATTTACTTTCCATATGGAATCACCGGAATTTCCATGTAAATGGTAAACAACCAATAGGCTCTGTATTTACTATGCATTTGTATGGAATTTTAAAGATGCTGTAAAGTCTGTAATGTAAACAAACGCTTTGTTTACATTTTGAACTCAGTGCTATTAAGTTGTAAAATATGATTAGATATATATTATACTGACTTTTTAACACTCTTCTGGTCCTCTATGCTTGTAAATGAATACAGCTAGAGATTCAATTCAAGAAAGTTTGGAAGGTGCGAAATATTAATAACGTTCCAATGGTCGGGTCCCGACCATTGGAATGTAGGCCTGCGTACCCCAAACATCATGAAATTTCGGTACAGACTAATTTGAGCATGACAATTTCAATTCTGAGGTCCATTTGTGACAAAACAGCTGTACTGACATGAAAAATGGATGGCATCATGATCAACTCGGATAGGAGAATCAACTCAACATTTTAATACATGAAAAACATATTAAATGTAGATTCTTGTTTCCGAATCTAAAACTACGTGTAGTGTATGAATATTTTCAGCCAGTAGAAAACAATGTACAATACAATATAGTATTTAAAATATGGCAATTAAAAACCTTTCTTCCGGCCCATGTATCTCAAGTTCATGGACATATATTGCCGTCAATAACTCGATTTCCTCTGAAATTCCATCACTAAAAGGAAGGAAGAAACAAAATCTACCAAAAAAAAATGAAAACTAGACAATACAACGCAATTTAAAATGCTTTAAATAGTGCAGAAAATAAAATAATATTACCTTTCGGCATCGTTACCAGCCGCCATATTGGCCAGCGTTTGGCGACCACGGGCTCACAAAGAAGACGTTCAAACTTCAAAGGTAATTCCTTCATCTCTTTTACGTTTTTGGAAAATACTCGGAACTCAGGGCTGCCGGAAACACGGGGAAGTAGGGGCAGCTGCCCAAACAGAATGGGAACAGCCATTGAAATGAATATAACTGGAACACTGCCTTTAGATTTCCGGTTGGAGGGAGCGTTCTAGATATGTTCATTTCAATGGGTACAACAAAAATTGAGAAGCAATTTAATTTAGTTCAACTTCAACTTCGAAATAATTAACAAATTGTCATCTTTGGCGTCGTACAGCGAAAAAAATTTAATCGCTCACAAGTAAGTGCCCTTTTTAAATGACTGCTCTTGCCGCTTCGCGTTGCTTTAGCTAGGCGCACTGTGGGAGTTTTGAATTTCTTTTCAAGTTCTAAATTGTATTCCGGTTCACTAACTAAGTACTGCTGTTTAGGTTGTCTTATTATAATTTCGCCTCTGAGAAGAGTAGAACAGTTTAGAACTGATAGAGCTATCCAGTATAAAGTTAATTTAGTTTAGGTTTTTTTCTGTCGTAACACTGCTAGATAGCGATAAAGGCACTTAAAATAAAATTTTAAAAAGGGCATTTAAAATAATTACCACGCGACCTCCCGTGGACAATTAATTGCAAAATAACTGCTAACTTTAGCGGCAGAAAATCCCCATCATGGCGTTTGAATATGCAAAATGTTGTTCAAAGAACAGTTCATTTCCACACGGGAAATTCGCTTTAAATTAGAAAATGTATTAATGCCTTCAGTGTACAATTTCATTAGTTTATTTTACACAGAAGACAGAATATGCTAGGAAAAATTTTGAATGGGAATAAAACTGAATAAAATTTTGTGGCTGTGAGTGAAGCGAAACGCAAATAATGATTGGACAGATGAATAGATAAATACTTTGATGGATTCAAGTTCAACGTTTGAGTTTGATGGAGTAAAAGTTGAACACTTTGCAATTTCGACGCAGTTATAAAGTGATATTGGCTATAAGCATGTTATGCATTATTTAGTAAATATCCACAGCACACGGGTTACCATTTGAGACAAGTTTTAAAACACAGCAGGTCATGGCGAAAACCGAAGTCATAATAAGCAATTTGAAACGACAGTAGTCTCATTAAAATACTAACTACATTACTCATTTGCAGCTGCAGCAATTGCAACAAAAATGACGAGAGAGTCAGTAGGAAGACAGGATTATAATTTTTTGTGGTAGTAGCTATTTACTTCTATGTTATATGACAGAAAATTGAAGTCGTAACTTTAGCTATTTGTTGGTAAATGGAAGCAAAACCAAACCACGGAATTGATAAAACTGACTGAAATTTTGCCATGGCAAAACTGCGAAGATTTCTGGTCGAAGTGATTGCATTTGCGGCTTGTCTGTTAATTGGGGCGGCCGTATTTCAAGCAATAGAATACAGAGAAAATGAATCTGCGATCTCTGAAGCACAAAGCGGTGAAATACTTGAAGCCGTTGCCAAGAATATCAGTCAGAAATATAATATCTCTGCACAGGAGATGAATTATACAGTTCAGCAGTTGAGGAGGGTCGTGAGGAACAAAGGCGAAAAATGGGATCATTGGGGTTTCAGTGGATGTTATTTTTTCGCTGGGACAGTTGCATTCACTATAGGTAAGGCCAAGATGATGACGAATTATGTAGTATTTTGTGGCTTATTACACTTCAAAAACATTTCAGATGTTTTTAATTTTTCTGGTCGTTTAGACACACGACAGCTTACTGTGGAATACTACTCGCATTGGAGTGCAGCCCTTATCAGAAATTGAATAAATTCCTGAAAAAATAGAGCATGCGTAGCCAGGTTGAAACATTATTTATTGAACGTTCTCTGACTTAATATTTATTTCTACGAGCTTTTGGCTATCAGTCCATAGCTTTCGGTCTTCAGTCTATATAGTCAGAGAACGTTCAATAAATAATGTTTCAACCTGGCTATGCACCCTCTATTTTTTCAATTATTCGCCGAACGGCTGGCCGCGAAGGTCTCAAATTAGCACTAGTTCTAGAGAAGGATACTTATAAACTCGAAGCACACCACTGTCACCTAAAAGCTTAGCGTCCTTTATAGTATCATTTGTATACACCCGTCGAAGGCTATAGACTGGTAGCCGAAAGCTCGTAGAAATAAATATTAAGTCAGAGAACGTTCAATAAATAATGAATAAATTCCATTCAGTATCTGTGGTCTTTCTTTGAACTTGAAGTCTTTTGGTTCTAATTTTTTCCACGAAAATTATTACTGAGTGACTCCTAGCTATAGTTGCGGGAGTAACGAACTTAAGACGAGCAAAATCTAATAAGCGGACATGATAAAAAGACAGTTACTTATGCTTTTCTTTTGGATTTGTTACCAGTTTAAATTTGTTTTTCACCTGTATCTTTCTCTGTTGACAAAAAGAATTCATCTTCTTAACCCGTGTTGCTGGGTATATATAATATACACATGCAGCTAGTGGCCGCCGCGGTCATGTTGTATAAGATCAGTTAAAGTGTATTTTTCCCCAATATGTACAATTCTAAAATTTTAGGATTTGGACACCAAACCCCGAAGACATCACTAGGCCAACTAATGGTCATTATTTATGCTATGATTGCCATCCCAATTACAGGTAGGGATTTAGAAATTTTTACAATAGAACTTCCATTGGCATCATCTTCGTACATGAACTTGTGGAGATCGACAACTGGCCTCTGTAGCTCAGTTGGTTAGAGCGCTGCACCATGCAGAATTGCAAGTTCGATTCCCGCCAGGTACCAAAAGTTGCATTATTCGCAAACTGCTTCTGCGAGGTTTGATAAATGTACAAACCTTACGCTCGATATTTTCATCTACAGATCTTTTTTGTTATTACAACTACAATTTTATCTCGATACAGGACTGATGTTATCAGCGTGCGGGGAAAGGCTGGCGGAGCACCAACAAAAAACAGTTGTATTTATCGAGAAGAAAATATTCAAAAGAGAACCTACTCATTTACAAGCCAAAACCATTGCAATGAACGTATTTGTGTTGGCGTTGTTCTTTGTTGCTTGGAGTATCATGACCAAGTAAGTATCAGTGAGTTATACAAGACATTACAACATGATGTAACATGAACTTGGTTAGAGCTCGACAACTGGCCTCTGTAGCTCAGTTGGCCTCTGCAGAGCACTGCACTGGAATCGCAGGGCTGCAGGTTCAATTCTTGCCAGAGGATCTAGTGTTTCATTTTTCCCAACCGTTCCTGGTCAGGTATAAAAAAGTGTGTATATATCGTCACTTATCCATTTATTCCAATATTCACTTTCGACCAAGTGAAGTGCAGAAAAAATCTTTCAAGTTCACGACACAACACGACACGACAAAACACAACACGATAAGGCACGAAACGACACAACACGACAAAACACAACACCATACGACACAACAACACGATACAACACGACACGACACGATATAACATAACGCCTTAAAAAGTTCAATAATTCGCGAGGAAAAGACACTAAGGATAAAAAATCATGTTCATTTACATAAACTTCAGCTTTAATTTTCTCGGCATAGACAACATTTATTTTTCAAATTACTTTGCCAATGAACTCATCAGATCGATGGGTCGTTCTTTAAGCCATTTAAACACTCGCAGTCTGTGCTTATCGAATATATTGTAAAACACTCGAGCTGCGATCTCGTGTTTTGTATCTGATAAAACACTCCTACGCGTGCTTTAAATAGTACATACAACACGACATAACACGACATAACACGACACAATACAACACAACATAAATAAATCTCGTATTATTACACAACACCGGCGGTCATTTTGTTTCGTCTTGATAAACACGTTCGTATATATCTTCAATAATCTCACTAAACACACGAATATTTGGTGAGAAAAAAGAAATTCAAATTTATGGAAATCAGCAGAATTTTACTATCAGATATACAAGCTCCTTCAGGGTCATCATGCATGAGGTGTTAATAAAAATTTCAAAGTTTACAAAATAATCTCTTGTTTTCAATTTAGATATTACTATGATGGGTGGTCAATAGTTGAAGGCGTTTACTTTCTATGGATTTGCATGTCAACAGTCGGTTTTGGAGATTATATTATTAACAATGGTAAACCATATTACGATGGAAATTTGGTGAAAACGCTCATGCTAAGATTTAATGTAATATTCCTAATAATAGGACTCTGTCAGGTTTCGTGTATTTTGGTATCCATTCAGAATGCATTCGAGACCAAATTTGTAGAAAAGGTAGGTCAAGATGAAAGCAATGATGATGTAGATAATGAAAGCGAGACAAGTACAAAGAATGAAACGAATGAAAGGGACGGAGAGTTAGGTAAGAAAAACGAAGCTTGTGAGTTGGAAATTGTCGACGAAAGGGCTTGCAGCAAGATTTCTGAAACATCATTGAACACTTTATAAATGAAAGTAAAATATTAAACTTTTAAACTACGGTAGACTTGCGATATATTTACACGCATTTTAATTAATATTCCAAAGTTGACTGCATATTAAGCCAAACTCTGCAAAAAAGTTTGGTCTGATTTGTGGACTGATTTTGATTTTGATGTAGAAGAATTAAGTATAAGTACACTCTTTCTAAAAACTTTAAAATTTAAAGTTTCATTGATTTGTGTTTTTTGAACAATTCTCATTTATGCAGACCCTATTTATGACTTGGAGGAAATTTATCAATATCTAAATTACCCCCAACAAGTAAGACAGCAATATTTTTCAAACCCGCAGTCACTTTCTTAAACCTTTCAGTCAGTACAGCAGCCGCGACCACCCCTGACGAAGGCTCAATAACTACCTTCATACGTTCCAGAACAAGTCTCGTTCCATGAATGATCTCTTCTTCTGTTACTGTGAAGACATCATCTACATGTTGTTGTATAATTGGCCAGGTTATCTCACCCACACTTGTACGTAAACCATCGGCAATTGTGTCAGGAGGACCTGAAGAAATTAAGGCATGATGTCAACTCCTTCCCCTCTATATGCACCATCACACCATGGGTTTGAATTTTCAAATGACGGCCAATTTCAGCGAAGTTAACACTTATACAAACTTAACTCATTGAGCTGCAATATATCCAAATGCACTCAGCTTTGTTAATGCCAGCACATTTTACTCATCAAAGGGAAAGTCTTGAGCATTAATACAAACTTAAGCAAGCAACTTTTTTGTAAACACGGCTGTCAGATTGCTGAGGGGGGACCGGATTAAAATTTAAAGTTAAAAACTGTATCAGTTTTCGTAATCTTCAACACGTGACAAAACATAAGATTTTAAAGTTTTTTTTACTTCCTTGCATGATCGGCGCTATGATGCAAAATGCTGTCAAAATTTAAGTTATACCAATCTTCGGATGATGTCTGTGTTGACAAAAATGTCGGTTGCTTAATAAAGTTCACTATGACACTAATAGTTAGGTTTAAGCAATGCATCACTCAGTGAAATCCACCTGTTTAGTATTTAATTAACAAATATAAAACATTTTCCGTGTTGATATACAGTTATATCAACACAAGTGGAAATTGGAGTAATTCCATGCCATTTCAACACAGGCATGACACCCACCCTCTCCAAATTTCTTTATATTTCGCAGGCAGTTAACATTGTGTGGGAATAGTTTAAGTTCAAAATTTGAGCATCGTAGCTGCAATAGTTTTTGAGA